CCACCTGCCGGGCCGGCCCTGCCAGGCCTGGGGGGCGTCACACCCAGAGCGGGACCGGGGAGCCCCACCAGAGTCAGGAACGAAGCGGCAGGAAGGGGCGTGTGCAGACCTGGGGCCGGGCCAAGGGGGGGGCAATGGAGCTTGACCACGGGCGCTGCCACACTCAGGCCCCAAAGGGTGGTCCATGGACCGGACCTGCTCCCTCCTGGCAGCCTGGGCGAGCCCCTTCCCGCCCTGAGGCTGGGAGGTGGACTGAAGAGGCCCCGCCCTCCTCCCCGACCCACTCTGGCCCAGGGCCATGGGCTGAACTTGAACTTGAACTTGAACATGTTCGGTCTTCTCCAGCGACCGCTCAGGACAGACTCCTAAGGAAATCTGTCATTTTCAAGTTTTAGGACTCTGTCAGATCCCTGTTTTCCAAAACCCAATCTCTACAGGGGCAGACGGCCCTGAGCCTAGAGGGACGGAGTGTGCTGGGAGCCCAGTGCCCGCCAGGGCGCGGAAGGCCTGAGGTGTGGGCTTTGGTTCAGCATCTGAGGCCTGAGCCTCTCCCCCACTCCCGGGACCCCTGGTTGGTCCCGGGGTGCTGCAGTCGGGCTCTAACCCCACACCCCGTCTCCAAGAGGCCCCCCCTGCACGTCCTGAGCCCACGGAGAGTTCATGGGCTGGGGCTTGGCCCCATGACCACCTCTTCCGCAAGAGGGAGCGCTTTGAGGGAAACAAGAAATGGAAGGTTCCAGAAGGGGGCGGCGGGGAGGGCAGGGAAGACTCAGACTCCTCTTGTCCCCTTCAGGGATGCCCTGAGACCCCAGACACCCTGCTAAAGACTTCCTGCCGCTGACCGCATGGGTCCACAGCACTGTGACACAAGACCCTGTGCTGTCCTTCGCACGGCCGGGCTGCGCCCCTGACGTGTCAGGAGAGGGAGGGTTGCAGGTTCCGTGGCAATGCTCCTTTTGCACCTAGCTCTGGTCTCCACACTCACGGCTGTCCAGGACTGGCGCTTCTGCCCCGCCCGTTGACAGGGAAGGTCGAGGAGGCCCGGGTGGGGCTGAGGTCCACGTCCCTCCTGTAGCGGGCGCCGGGTGGGGGGCAGGGACTGGGTAACAGGTAGCGGGCAGAGGGGCGGAGATGTCTGTGCGGCAGGTGCTAGTCTCCATAAAACAGCCCCGCATTTTGCTGGGGCACAGAGGAGTGAAGCGACTAGCCCAAGTCACACAGTCGGTGGGGCGCCGCTGGCATCTGAGTGCTGCTCTCTGCTGCCTGTCCTCGGGGCGTCCCCACAGCCTGGTGGGCTGTGCCCCCTTGATGTCACAGTTAGGCCAGCCGGGCTCAGCAGGGCGTCTCCACTGCAGCACGAAAGACTCCAGGGCCACACATCTCTGCCGTGGGCGGCCGTCCTGGGCACTGTGGGAGTTTCAGCAAACTGGAGGTTCACTACCCCCGGGTGCCTGGGCGCCCCTAGTTGTGACAAGCAGACATTGCCATGGGTCTCTTGGGGAGCAGAATCGCCCCCCATTGAGAGCCACGGACATACAGCTTTACAGACATGCCCGTAGTTGCCCACTGGGTGAGAGCTGAGATGTCAAGCCAACGTTGTCCTGTGTTGGGACCTGGGAAGGAACATGGGGAGGGGAGGGTTGGCTGGGGAGGGGTGGATGCCTCCTGGACTCCTGAGGGGTGGATTCCCATTCATTCAATCATTCACTCATTCCTCAAGTATCTCTCGAACCCCCAGCTGTGCCAGGCATACAGACTCCAAGAAGAGCAAAAGTCTCCCCCACCTCCCACCCCTGCCCTGCTCCCTCAGGGCCCGATCTCGGAGTCTGAATCCATTCTCTGGCTGTTTCCTGTGAGTTTGCAGTGTGACCATTTAGAAAATCCTGAGCTTGACCCACATGCTGTGGGTGCTAATTTTTAAAATATCCTTTTTTTTTTTTTTTGAGTTGGAGTCTCACTCCATTGTCCAGGCTGGAGTGCCGTGGCACACTCACGGCCACTCCAGCATCGACCGGCTGGACTCAGGAGATCCTTCCGTCTCAGCCTTCCAAGTAGCCGGAACTACTGGCATGCGCTACCATGCCCGGCAATTTTCAAAAAATTTATTGTAGAGACGAGGTCTTGCCAAGTTGCCCGGGCTGGTCTCGAACCCACAGGCTCAGGCAATTCCCTCACCTCAGCCTCCCAAAGTGCTGGGATCACAGGCTGAGCCACCAAGCCCAGTCTTAAAATATTCTGAAAAACAGTAGGACTCTGGTCTCTGCCGAAGAGAATAATAAAGCCACGCAAGATTGCAGCATCTGCTGAGCCCCTACTGCATACCAGGCCCGGGCATCGTCACTCAGGATGTGCAGGGCGTTCGTACCCGGGCTTTCCTTAAATTAACATTAAGTAACATTGAATCTGGATGGCCATGGAATGCAAGTGTGTTCACCTCACCCTACTCAAGAGGCAGCAGGGCTCCCACAAGAAAGAGACATGTTCAGTGTGGCCTGAGTAGGGGACGGGGTAGGTACCCAGGCCAGTCGGACTCTGGTGCCACGCTTTTCCCATATGGGGTGGAGGTGTGCCCGGCCAGGCAGGTCTGCTTGCTGGACCCTCCCTCCCTCTACTCAGCATCCCAAGGCCCTGCCCCGGTCACACCCTGAGACACGGACACACCCTCACACACAGGGGAAACATGCACAGATATTCACACAGACACGTACTCACACGGAGATGCATCCACACACAGAGATATTCACAGACATACCCTCACGCAGAGAGACACACAGACACCCTCACACACACAGATATTCGCACAGACATACACTCACACAGAGATACACACACAGAGACACACACACAGGTATTCACACAGACATACCCTCACACCTCACACAGAGAGACACACGCACACAGAGACACCTTCACATACACAGAGACACACCCACAGATATTCAGATAAACACACACTCACACAGAGACACACATACAGAGACACACTCTCACACACAGAGACACACATTCACACCCAAACCAGGCCTGCTCACACAGGCAGGGACATATTCTCTCAGACACTCACAGACATACATACATAGACACACTTGCCCACATGGCTCAGGTGGCATCAAGCACACGCATGCTCGCACGTCACACACTCATGCCCACAGCGACACACACACTCACACACCTGCCAGGTCCTCGGGCCAGACTTCCCAGCTTCCCCAGCCTGCCACACCCCGTCTGCTGGGGGCCCCCCTGGTCTCCAGCACACGTGACGCTGGCTGTGGACCTCTGGCATGGCCCCTCATGGGTGGGGGCGCCGTGGGTGGTTGACTCAAGGCAGGGCCAGAACCCGGAGGCCCCGTGTGGGAAGACCGGGCCTTGACGCGGGAGACGCGCGTGTGAGTATGACTGGGAGAGGCCACGGGCACAGGGAGGCTGGACTGCCCCCCAGGCCAGGGGCAGGTGTCGTGCGCCAGTCATCACGGGAAAGGCGGGAGGGGAGGAGGTGGGCTGGGCTGGCCGGATGTCGAGGACAGACTCCCGGGGCCATCCAGGTGGGGTGGGGCTCAGACCTCTCCAGCGGGGTGCATTTCCCTTGGGCGGGCACGTCGGGTCACGGCTCCGAAGTTCTGCCTTCCAACAGAGCAGGGCAGGCAGGACCCCCAGACCCTGGGGTGTGAAAGCACCCCTTCCTCTCTGGGCCACTCTGCTCCTGCCTGCCCAACTCTGATCTGCTGGAAGGCAGGGCCTCTGCTTCTTCATCTCTGTTTCCCCAGCTGCTGGCCCAGGCTGCATACAGTTGGTGCTCAAGGCAGGCGGGAACCAACCCCGCGATGTGCCTCCCTGTGCCCCCGCGGGCTACCGTGTAACGGATTCTCCCAGCACACCCCGTCTGTCCATCCCCTCTGTCCCTCCCCTCCCGCCCCGCCAGGCGGGTATGAAGATCTGTGGGGCGGGGATGCCTCACACGCCCCGGGTCACCTCACACGCCCCGGGCAGCCACCGCGTGCCTCTGCGCGGGGGTGAGGAGGTCCGTGTTCTGTTCTCAGGCTGCGGGGGCTGCGGTGCCGAAATCAAGAACGGCCAGGCCCTGGTGGCCCTGGACAAGCACTGGCACCTGAGCTGCTTCAAGTGCAAGACCTGCAGGAAGCTCCTCACCGCCGAGTACATCAGCAAGTAAGTGGCGTGGGCTCCGGCCAGCGACCCTAGGCCCTCGTTCTGGGCAGGGGCGGCCAGGCTCCGGCACCCCGCGTGTGTTCTCCTGTGACACCGTCCCGGCCTGGCTTCTGCTCCTCACCCGGCCACCATGTCCCTCTGCCGGGTCAGCCCGGCCCGGCCCTGGCAGCTGCATCTCCCTTCCCGTCCCGTCCCGGCTTCCTTGGGAAGGTTTGCAGAGACTCCGGTTCCATGTGCGTGGGTCAGGCCCCGAGACACGGGCAGGGCCGGTTCCAACCTTGTAAAGGCCTTTACTCTACCCTCCCCCTTCCCCGTGGGAGGAGCCATCCTTTCTGGCAACCAGGCGTCCCGTCAAGGCAGTGTCAGCAGATGCCAGCCACAGGGACAGAGAAGAGGGACCGACTGGTTCTGGTTGTCGGGGAGGAGACCCTACAACCATGCGCCCTGTCTTTTGCAGAGCGGGGACTCCCAGGCCCGCTCTCCCCGGCACAGGGTCCCCCGAGTGTGCAGTCAGGCTGGGGCGGTGGCTGGCTTGGGGAGCAGGGGGGTGTGGTTTCATCAGAGGCTTCTAAGACAGTCATGGCCGTGCACAGAGGCAGCACATGGCCAAGGGCCGGGGTGCGTCTTAACCCTGAGAAATCGGGGAACGGCGGCAGACCAGCTCCCCCTGGGCAGCGCGGGTGAGGGGCAAAGTAAAGGAGGACTAAAGAGAGGCGTTCCTCCGTGTGCAGAAAGGGCTCTTCCTGGGAGCTGGAGGCTCTTCTAGAAACTTCTGCTGAAGATGGGGCTTGTTCTTGATGCCCGAAGATGGATCGGGCTGATGGGGATGGAAAAGTCCTGTAAGGCCGGGCTCAGTGGCTCAGCCTGTCATCCCAGCACTTTGGGAGGCTGAGGCGAGAGGATTGCCTGAGCCCGTGGGTTCGAGACCAGCCCGGGCAACTTGGTGAGCCCTCGTCTCTACAATAAATCAAAAAATTAGCCGGGCGTGGTAGCGCATGCCTGTAGTTCCAGCTACTTGGGAGACGGAGGTGGAAGGATCACCGGAGCCCAGCAGGTCGAGGCTGCGGTGGCCGGGAACAGCCGCTGCACTCCGGCCTGGGCAACAGAGTGAGACTCCAACTCAAAAAAAAAAAAGAAAAAGCAAAAGTCCTGTGATAAAACTACACAGAATGACGCGTGTGCGCGCATGCATGCACACAGGTGCACACACATGCACTCACACATGCACCACACAGACACACACATACGCACAAGTGCACGTAACATGGGGTCTGAATGTTCCCATGGGAACCTCCTGGTTGAGCTTGAACTATGATTCTGCAAGATGTCACCCCCAGGGACACCGGTGAAGGGTGTACGGGACCTCTCTGCCTTGTTTCTTGCCGCTGGGTGGAAGTCCACAGTGATCTCACATCCGTGCTGTTCAGTGGAATCCCCAAGCGGAGGCGAGCTGGCCCTGTCACGTGTGTCCCGGCCTCTGGTGCGGTGGAGGAACCGGGAGCGGGGCTCAGCGGGAGGCAGCCTGGTGCCGGTACGCACAGCACTCGAGGCTGACAGGAGCGCGCCGGCCCCCGCGGGCTGCCATCCCCCGTGGGCTGGTGGCTCACCCACACCACGCGTGTTACCTAGCAGCCTCCAGAGACATCCCAGAATGGCTGAGGGCGTTGGCGTTGCCGT